GGCAGAGTGTATCCTGTCTAGGGCTGCTTTCATGCTACAATGGCAGAGTTGAGTAGCTAAAACAGAGACTGTTACTATCTGGCTCTTTACAGAAAGAATATTTCCAATCCATGGCTGGTTGAATCCAAGGATTGGAACCTGTGCATACAGAGGGCAGAGTGTATCCTATGTAGGGCTGCTTTCATGCTACAATGGCAGAGTTGAGTAGCTAAAACAGAGACTGTTACTATCTGGCTCTTTACAGAAAAAAAATTTGCATACCCTGCTCTAAACATGCCCCAATCCATTGGAGTATCCATCATAAAGTTGGATACATTTACCCACCTTAAGGCAAGGGGCTGGTCTTTGTACCTTAGTGTCAGCTGGGCATTGGTCGCCAACTACCCCAGGGTTGAGGATGAGGTGTGTGAAGCTTGTTAATCCCAAGGTGGTGACTCCCATCACCAAGAACAATTCTCTGCATACCAGGGGCAGCTGTGAGCTGTTAGCAGCCACCATTTGCAACCACTGGAAATGGGCACACACTGGGTAAAGGGGATATTTCACCGGCATCCACTGCAGTGTGTACCTGGACCAACACGTGTGTTTCATGAAGCTGGAAAAAATCCATATTTTCCACCTGAAATTGAACCGTTATTATCTCACCTGGATTCCCTGTCACCGTGCCTTCTGTCCATTCATCCTATTGCTCTCAGGATGAAGCTGGGAACACTTAACGAGGTCCACTGGGTCCTGCCACCTGCCCAGCCTCATCTGGTTCACTCTCCTCACACTGTATTCTCCCGCCATGCGTGGCCAGAGCCCAGGGGGCATTCCTTCAGGTCTGAGCACACAGCTTCCTCCAGCATGGTTTTGCTCATGGTGAATCTTCTGCCTGGAACACCCTCCCTTATGCCTCCAACCTGCTACTGCTCCAGACTAACATCTCTCCTTCATCCAGAACTCAGCTCAGAGAATTTTCCTCCGAAAAACTTTGAACTTCTAGCCCCATAAATCCCTTTCCCCCACAAGTAGCCAACATTCACTTTGTACATCTTTACATGTTGTTTTCTGTCTCATGCAAACCACGGCACAAAAAATGCATAGATTTTCTTTAACAAAAATGTCATATTATTTGCATTACTTTGAAGCTTGTTTTTTCCCTTTAACAACATAAACCGTAAGAAACTTTCCAGTTCGATGTGTATGGAGTAAACTCATTTTAATTCATTTTTCTAACAGCTACATGATATTCTACCATGTGTGCATATAGTATGTGCATCATATGTATTATAATAATTTAAATTCAATTCTCATGCTGATATTGTTGAGAGTTCAGAATGTTTCTGTGTATGTGTGTATGTTTGCATTTTCCAAAGAATGGTACCAAAAACATCTCTGAACAAAAATATCCCTACATTCTGAAGCTTATATTTCTGTAGGTTCAGTCCCTAGAAGTGGTGTGGCTTGGTCAACATATCCACGCACGTCACATTTTCAACACACAGTGCCAGATCCCTTTCTGCAAAGATAGCAAATCGCGCATCCAGCGGCAGCCTAGGAGCCTCCCTGTCCTCGGCATCTTTGCTGGTGCTGGTGGTGTCCTTTAATC